TGGATAAAGGACCTAATATAGACCATATAGGTATAATTTGAAGAGATATAAAAAATGCTACAACATGCGCTATTATCTTTCTTGCAGAGATTTGTGTCTTTGAACCCCGACAACCCTATTGTGTTCAGTACATTGGAGAGATTTTCTCATCTGAGTATATCCAACACCGGCTATGTGAAGTAAAGTCACTTATACTGAAAATATCATTTCAATGTCCTCCAGAATCTGATCGGCCGGGTACAAAGACCCATATCTCTAAATCCAAGAAAGACAATAAAACATATTGTAGCATTTTGGAAGGTTCTGGTGCCAGGTAAAAAAACACATATACCTAGATCCAAGAAAGATAATAACACATATTGTGGCATTTTGGAAAGGTTCTGGTGTTAGCTATAATTTGGCATATACCTATATTGTCTTTTGAGTGATTTAAAAAAAAAATGGTATGGATCAGTAATTTTGAATATGACTAGTTGTTGGATAGTTAATTTTATTAGTTTTCGAAACCATAAAAGCTCAGTAGATCCGAGCCTAACCAAGGTCGGGATCGGGATCAGGATTTCAGGTCAAATATACAGGCTTCCAGGTCCGTTCACCAAGAAAAAAAAGTTTTTTTTTTGGAATCAGGAATCAATTTAAAAAAAAGGTGAAGTTTTCACTAAACCAGAATTAAGCCTGGCCTGGAAATAACTAACATTTTCTTTAAAGGATCTCTATATTTTTGTAATTTCGGATGTTGAATATTCAAAAACTAATATGTCAATATTTTTGTTTTACCTTTAATAATGGGTTGTGTAAGGAATACTTTAAAGAGACCCCTGAACCTATAAAAATATTTATTATTTATTTATTAACAAAACCTCATTTTTTGATTTTTCGGATTTTTCGAAACCCTCCATAGCCATAATAATGAACACTTTCGAAATCCTGAACTGATATTGTCTGTGGATCGTGGATTATATTTCGTGGCAGATGGCGTTTTATAGCCTATAATACTTGGTGTTGGCATTGATGTACGAATCGATCTAGCTATGGGGTCCAAACGGACCAAAAACAGAAAATTTGCCTGACTTTGCACAGGCCATAATTATGGACACATCGGTGTGGAATTTTATCATAGGGGTCAGAGTTTAAGGCAATGCAGTAGCCTACCAATGAGGGTGAAATGGTCCACAACTTTTTTCGCAAATGCCCGATTTTCCATTAAACGGCGAATAATTATCAAATGCAGGCAAATTCTTCCCCTCGGCCTTACATGGATGGTCATAGCCAAGATTTCGGATGTTTAGCAAAAGAGGTGGACTCTATATAAAATAAATTGATGTTAGTTTCCCAGTATTATACTCAAGAACGACTAGTAAAATCTCATCAATTTAGAATGACCTCTTGGCAGAAAAGGATAAAAAAAATCGGGTGAAAATATTCCAATAAAAATTAGAATATTTTTGGTAAAGTTTTGAGTAAATTTTTTTTTTATTTTTTGGTAGATTCTACATTCTTCAACACTATTTGTAGGGAGTATTAAAAAGTGGTCGCTATTATCGTTCGATTCTCATAAAATTGTTCATGGCGTTGGGTTGGGGCTGGTATAGAAGCCTATTTGCAGTCACTCTTTCTATCCACACAGAATTTCTCATGAGGTTAGAGTAACGGAAAGGGTAGAAGCCTTACATTTTCGATTGCCACCGGATAATATTTAGTGGGTTAAAATTAATCGCAACTTTTGTGCGAAATTTATTTTGAATACCTTTTAGACGGAGGGCGTAAATATAGAAGCAATGCACAAGTGGCACAAGTCGATTTTTTCCAGGACTGTATAGCTTTATTTCAAGAACGAAAGCGATCAAAATGATGTCAAATGGTACCACAGTGTCATAGGGTTTCACTTGATCGGCCCAAGACAACTGTAGCCATTGCTTCCAGTTTTTTTTTTTTTTTTTTTTCTTAATATTTTTGTGAGGGTCACGTATTCGTATAGCACCGGTATAACGCTGCCCTCCAATGTACAGTATTTTCATGATTATAGCAATATTTTCCTAAGCAATTGTTTATAATTTGGTATTTGAAGTTCTAAGTGGATGCTATCCTCTCAGATAGAATGAAGTCTATAGAGGTTTAAGTTTTTAAAAAAATAGTTTGGCATCTAGGAAGACCTAGTTGTCACTAACTCAGGAAATTCTCATTAACTCTGAAAATTTATATGATATCATAGGTATATAAATACATAAAAGAATATCCTTTTTTTGGCATAAGTCAGAGGTTGGCTTTTTTAGTCGATCAAGAACGTTAGGGTGAATATGTTTATATTATGGGCAAAATTGATCAGCAAACTGCTATTATGTATTCTCCCCTAAAGATAATCTTGCTTGGTCTTGGAATGTAACAAGTAAAAAAGCAGTATGTTCGGCCGGACCCTCCCTCCACCATTTGGATGGAAATTTTCAAAAAAAAAAATATAAAAAAAAAATAAATAAAATAATAATAAAAAATACTGCCAAAATCATAGAAATATGGAATATAGGCAGGTACCGTCATATGGAGCTATACGAGGACCTAGACCTGCATAGGAAATTTTCTGCCCCAGGCTGTAGTACCCGTTACGAACTGCAAATACGACATTTTAAACAGTTCCGGTGAATAATGTCTATAAAATTATCAAAATACCGAATATAGGGGAGGTACAGTTATATTGGAAACTTGGACTTCTTTGGCAAAATATTTTGAAAAACTCTTTTTAATGTTTCAAAATTAAATTTCGAGACTGTTGGCAATAAATTGTTTAAAAAAATATTTTTTTTTTTTTGCTCCTTCAAGAACCCTTTTGAAATCGTAATTTCTATGTCGTTTATGTTCCAAAGTCTTTCCTTAAGACATACCTTTCAATTAAAGCTTTTTTTACCATCTCCAAACACCTAAATGTCATTATCCTCTGAAAATTATCCGAATATGAATTTCACGCATTTTAGAAAAAAAAAAAAAAAATGTTCTCAAAAAACATTTCCAATGTTTTGATAGTCTTTGTCATATTTTGTTATGATGTGTTTTGGGAAAGACAAGAAATGAGTGTAATTCTCATTCACTTGTGAGTGCTTGGTCCTTCTGGAGCTTGCTTTTCACCAAAGTCGTAAGATATCAAACAGCTGAAAAAAAACCATCTGGCCAGGACCATTGCCGGGATGAAATCATGATATTATTAGCGATCAGTAAATATTGGAAAGCTGTCAGTTTCGTAATGAAAAAAATTGCTCTGTAATAATATGAAGAGTATGAAGCCAATATCTCCAGACTCCAGACTTTAGCAATCATGTTTTCACTAGTTTTAAGATATCTAACAAATTATTTTATATTCTATATACGAATATGTTTTTAAATCTTTCAGTATCCCATTACCATTACCCTTTGAATTGAAAAAAAAAATGTTTTCATTTCAATTTTTTGAAGATTCCCTCCAAATTGTCATTTAATGAACCTTTTCATCATTATTGTCTTAATTGAAAAATATAATAACTGTCACCTTTTTTCATAAAAAAAATCCATTTTTTTAGTTTTTAAATTGTCCTAAAATAACTAGAGACAAAAATAATTTAAAAAAATATTATTTCCACCTTCATAACCACTATCCTTGAGTGGAGAAGTGTATGTAAATAAGTATCCTTGTTTCTGCTAATAGTTATTACTTGATTTTTTTTTTCAAAATTGTTGTTACATGAGGTACATTATAAGGAGATATCCTTGTTTGGGAAAAAATTGGAAAAAAATGGATTTAATTTTTGTATATTCCAAAATTTCCCTTTAATAAATTGGGTTTATTTAGCTTTCTTATACAAATATTTTGGCACCTAGGTCCTATTTGTCATTATCCTTTCAATAGGAAATCATTTTTAAGATTTTAAAAGAATTTTTAACGGATTTTATTATTATTATTATTATTATTTATTTATTTATTTTTTTTTTTTTTTTGAAAATTGCCAAATTCGTTCCAAATGGTTGAGGATATTCGAAGGTCGGCCCGGCCGATCTTACAGCTTTTATACCTTTTTTTTTTCAAAATTGTTGCTACAATTTTCCATTTTCAAACAATTTTGGAAGCATCCTTGTGTAAGAAAAATATATTTTGAAGAATCGATTCCATGTCTTTTAAAATTCCAAAATTGCCTTTTGATTTATAGAGTATATCTAATATTACCAAAGATATATTTTTGAACTAATTGTCATTATCCTTGCAATTGAAGACCATATCCTCTATATCATCAATCATCTTTTTCAGTTTTTTGACTCTAATTTACCTTCAATCTACCTTACAAAAACTATAAAAAAAAATTTTGGGATCTCAAAAAAAAAAAATGTGATTTTAAATTGTTGTTGATTTGTGTTCCGATATTGTTTTTAAATCTACCTTTGTGGTACTTTTCAATTGAAAATCGAAAAATTGGATATAAGTTTAAATTAATCTTGTTGTTGATATGTAATGTCCTTTTTTGCCGAAAATATTTTGCAAAAAAATATTTCAATTTTCAATTATGAAATTCAAATATTATGTATCCTTGTTTCGATAAAATATTAAAAAATGCAGAAAATGTATTCTAGAACTCTTGTTTTTAACTCAGAATTGTCCTTAGATCTATCACTATTTACTTAAAGTTTCAAAAATTGTATCTAAATATATAATATACTTGTTGTTTAAATAACATTGCATTGTTTGTCAAAAATAGTTTTCAATTTTTTTTCAATTTTGTCGCTAAAAAAAATAATAATAAATCCAAAAAATGTATTTCAAAATTTTTGTTTTTGTTGCAGTAAGAATAGAACTAAATCTTATTGCCACGGTCGTCTTGAAGTTTCAAAAATTATATCTAAGTATATAATATCCTTGTTGTTCAAATAATATATCCTTCTTTCAATATTTTTTTTTTCTAGTTTTGAAAAAAAAAATTTTTCCAAATTTCGGTTCTTAGATTATCCTTATATCTATCTGAATTAACTTATCTGGACATCATTACATTTTGGTTTCCATCTCAAACGGTATCAAAATTCAGCTTTCATTTTTCATTGCTCCTTTTTTGTTGAACACTTCACTCGATTTTCTTTTTGTTTAAAAATTATTTAAAAATTTTCTAATTTATTTATTTACGCCTTATTTAGATATTTTTTCTTTATTTAATTTTTCACGCCACAGAAAAAAATCGTATTCACAGTTTTATTTGCAAAAGCAAAAAAAATCAAAGAACAAAACTACGAAGTCACCGAACTGCTCTACCAACGTCAGTAGAAAGGATAATGGAAACGCGGCACAATACGAAACGAACGAACGGTACTGGTTTTTTACGACACCGGTTACGAGTTTTGTGTTTCTTTGCCCCGTTGCCTTGTTTTGGCAGGTCGTGTGGATTTTTTATTTTCTTGTGATGTTTTTTAGAGGATTCACAGGATTCACCACAGCACAAATAAATAAATTCCAATTTTATTTTTTTTTAATAATTTTTATTGCAAATTTTCTCCAAAATATTCCTCGTTTTGGTTTTTTTCGAGGGATTTTATTTTTAATTTTTTTCTTTGCTTTGGAATCTTTGTAAAATTATTTCTTTCTTTTTTTTTTTCTTTGCTTAATCCAAAAAATATTTCGCACACTCACACAGACAGCCGGAATAGTATCCCGTATTTTTCGACCGTACCCGCGGGATCGCAAACTCTCACTAAATACAAAATTTTATGATACAGACAGAGATGAATGCCATTCGTTTGTTCGGTAACAGACGACAACAAAAACAAACACACAACTTACACTCCAACACTCAGTCAGTCAATGGGGGGCCCTCAAATAACATCATCGTCATCATCATCATCATCGGCAACATCGTCATAATGAACATCTGTAAAAATGGCAAAGCAACCGATTAGATGAGGCAATGTTACATCGGGCCATCGGATTCGCTCATTGAACTACGAACTCTGCCTTTGCAAAAAAACCGACAAGAGCCAGAGAAGAGAAAGAGCGAGAGAGTAATCATTATTTTTCATCTTCCTAACACAACATAATAATATTAAGGCCTCCAAAGCACTGTTAAGCATCTCCATTAAATCTCATGCTCTCAGAGATGATTTCTCTCTCACACACACACAAGGCAGGGATGGGAGATATGAATCACATAACATGATGCCAAAAGCCAACATAACGGCTAACATTGTAGCACACAGTAAGCCTTTGAAAGGCCACAAATGTAAAAAGTAATGAGAGAGAGCGAGGGAGAGAGAGAGAGTAGAGAGCTCTGATTGTTTGGTCCATGTAATAACATTGTTACGAGACACGAGGCAATGAAATGCCACAGCATCACACACGACGACCAGTAAAAAGGAAAACGAGGTTAAACTCCATGCATTGTTTAACGCTCTCTCTCTCTCTCTCCCTGGCTCTCCTTTGTTATATTTTCTTTGAGTAAACAATGTTAGAGGACAATAAACAAAGTAGATGGCCATAGCTTCTCCAAAATAACTGCTCCAAAAATGGAATTCAAAAAAATGGAATTTTTTTTCGTCAACAAATGGAGTAAAAGAAACGGCGGCAAAGGATACAAACAAGAAATAAACAATAAATGTAATAAACACATAGCGCACACACACACACAGGAGAGCCGGAGAGTGAGAGTGAAAATCCGTACTCTCCTCGTAAAGTAATATTTTCCAAATTTGTATATCGTTCCGCCGCTTTTGCATAGCTTCACACAATTTGTTTACTTTGTAAACATAATTTCTATAAAGTTTGTGGGAAAATAAAATTCCTGGGCCGCCAAAAAAAAAAAACATGGACAAAAGGCTCGGGAACTTTAAACACCAAAAAAGAGTCCTTGGGACATTTTTGTGGGCAGGACAGGAAATTTACGCTTTCTTGAGATTTTCCTCCCCGTTAATTGAATGTCAAATATGTGTGTATGTATGCTTAAGTGGTTGACCTACCCTAAGGGCATTTTAATTGTTTGTTGTTGTTGTTGTTGCTATAATTATGTGCAACAATCGTTTAGGGGGAGGGGTAAGGGGAAAACAAAAAAAAGTAAAAACAACGTCATAAAAATTGACCTTTCCAAAAAAGAGGGAACTCGGAATAAAATTAAATTTTTTCAATAATCACGGGGAAAGTTCTGAAAATTAAGAAAATAGAGCTAAAAACCGGAGACATGTGTATCGGCATTTTAAAAGTTTACATCGCAAAGTAATTCAATTTGAGGGGGGCAAGTTCCACCCGTCCACATTTTTTATACCATCAGCCACATGGTTACAGAGGGTATTTATCATTTTATGCGGCCGAAAAGGGCCTCATCAAAATAACGTATTTAGACCCTAGGTCTCTTTGGACCAAATCCGTTTCAGGGCATTTAGGGTCGATCTAGCGATGTTCGTCCGTCGGCCTGTCTGTATGGTCCAAACATGGTACATCGTAATTATTATCATAATTAGACAGAGTTCAGAGATGGGTAATATCGGCCTTCTTGTTCTGGTACCTCCCCCACAAAAGGTCAACATTTAAAAAAAAAAAATAATTTGCTGCACAGAAAGGGGAAGGATAATCCGATTTTGCTCCAACTTTGCAAATCCTAATATTTGCGTCAGTGCTAGGTCAGGTGTGAAAATGAACAATATCGGTTCACTCCTTCTGGTACCTCCCCCACAAAGGGTCAAAATTTTGAATAATTACAGCTCTTAAAAATGTGATGTAAGACTCCGATTGTCTTCAAATTTCACACATTCCAATATTTATGTTAACCCAAGGTCTGGTGTAAAGACGGAATATAACGGACCACTCCTTCGGGTACCTCCCCAACAAAAGGTGGAAAATTTCAAAAAATATATTTTTTGCACAGAAAGAGAAAGAATAATCCGATTTTGCTCCAACTTTGCGAATCCTAATATTTTCATCCGCGGTAGGACAGGTGTGAAAATGGACATTATCGGTCCACTCCATCAGGTACCTCTCCCACGAAGGGTCAAAATTTTGAATAATTACAGCTCTTATAAATGTGATGTAAGAGTCCGATTGTCTTCAAATTTCACACATCCCAATATTTATCTTAACCCAAGGTCTGGTGTAAAGATGGAATATAACGGACAACTCCTTCGGGTAACTCCCCAACAAAAGATCGCAATTTTCAAAAAATATATTTTTTGCACAGAAAGAGAAAGGATAATCCGATTTTGCTTCAACTTTGCAAATCCTAATATTTTCATCAGCGCTACTTCAGGTGCGAAAATGAACAATATCGGTTCACTCCTTCTGGTACCTCCCCCACAAAGGGTCAAAATTTTGAATAATTACAGCTCTTAAAAATGTGATGTAAGACTCCGATTTTCTTCAAATTTCACACATTCCAATATTTATGTTAACCCAAGGTCTGGTGTAAAGATGGAATATAACGGACCACACCTTCGGGTAAATACCCAACAAAAGATAGAAAATTTTAAAAAATTATATTTTCCGCACAGAAAGAGAAAGGATAATCCGATTTTGCTTCAACTTTGCAAATCCTAATATTTGCATCAGTGCTAGGTCAGGTGTGAAAATGGACATTATCGGTCCACTCCATCAGGTACCTCCCCCACAAAGGGTCAACATTTTGAATATCCTTGAAGCGCATAAAACGCGAAATTATAATCCGATTCCATTCAGACTTGGTACATTTCAATATTTCCATCAACACAAGATCTGTTATAAAGAAGATAGAGATCGGACCATACCTTCTGGTACCTCCCCCACAAAGGGTAAACGCTTTGAATAACCAAAACCAGCATAAACTCCGAAATAAGCATCCGATTATCTTCATATTTCCCACATCCCTTTGTTTCAAGCACCGCAAGATGTGTTGTGAAGATAGGATATATCGGTCAACTTCTTTTGGTACCTCCCCCACATAGGGTCAAAGTTGAAAAAAAACAGAACGCTCAAGGAAAGCGAAATAAGCACCCATCTCTCTTCAAATTTCACAAATCCTATTATTTCTACTAACACCAGCTCTGCTGTGAAGGTGGGATATATCGGCCCTCTCCTTCTGGTATCTCCCCCACAAAGATTCAAAATTTTGATTGTCCATGAAGCTCATAAAAAGCGAAATTAACATTCGATTCCATTCCAAACTCGGTACATCTCATCATTTCCACTAACACAAGATCTGTTGTAAAGATGGTAGGGATCGGACCATTCCTTCTGGCACCTACCCCACAAAAGGTCAAAGTTTTGAATAACCAAAACGATCATAAAATCCGAAATAAGGGCCAAACTCTCTTTAAATTTCACACTTCCTATTATTTCTACTAACACAAGATCTGCTGTGAATATGGGATATATCGGCCCTCTCCTTCTGGTACCTCCCCCACAAAGATTCAAAATTTTGAATATCCATGAAGCTCCTAAAAAGCGAAATTAACATCCGATTCCATTCCAGACTCGGTACATCTCAATATTTCCACCAACACAAGATCTGTTATAAAGGAGGTAGAATTCGGAACATTTCTTCTGGTACCTCCTCCACATAGGGTCAAAGTTGAAAAAAAAACAGAACGCTCAAGGAAAGGGAAATAAGCACCCATCTCTCTTCAAATTTCACAAATCCTATTATTTCTACTAACACAAGATCTGCTGTGAAGGTGGGATATACCGGCCCTCTCCTTCTGGTACCTCCCCCACAAAGATTCAAAATTTTGAATATCCACAAAGCTCATAAAAAGTGAAATTTACATCCGGTTCCATTCCAGACTCAGTACATCTCAATATTTCCATTAACACAAGATCTTTTATAAAGAAGGTAGAATTCGGAACATTCCTTCTAGTACCTCCCCCACATAGGATTCAAAATTTTGAAAACAAAACGCCCAAAGAAAGCGCAATAAGCATCCAAATTCATCGATCCATCTCCTCAAATTTCGCACATCCAAACATTTTTGTTGAGGCGAAATCTGTCCTGAAGATGATATATATCTGCGAGCCCCTGGTCTGGTACCTTTATCTGTTGATGGTGGCTCACGCAAAGACTTTTCGAAATTTATTAAAACATCGGCCCCTATCCCGGGTAAAAACATGGATTTACGAAAAAATCAAGGTTCGCCTTAGAATTAAAGGAAAAGCAATTTTTTTTTTTAAGGAGCTGTTGCCATGGATCTTTAAAAACATTAAACATTTTTATTAATTAAGGTCCTTTTTTATGGAACACCTCGAAAATTCAAAATTCTATAGACGAATATTATTCCCTATAAACCCCGTTTATATTCTCAGTCAATATTTTTAGCATTTTAAATATCCGTTTAAATACTTTACATAATTATCCCCTACCATTATCCATACCATTCCACACTTGACCGCCCAACCATTTTTAATGACCATTGAAAATAATTCAAAATTAATTAATGTCATCATTTAATTTTCACCTTCGACAAAATTTGTGCTGTTCCAAACTACCATCGAAACAATAGAAAGCGCATTCATAACCCCCATTTATGGCCAGGGCAGTTGCAAAACTATGCTGAGTGCAAGTGTACCACACACGCACACACACACATAGCTTTACACAAAGTTTTTTCCAACAACAACAAAAATACCTCACTATATAAGTCAATGGGTCCAGGTCTAAAGCGTAGCACCGACAACATAATTTTTTTTTCCACATGCCAGGCAGTGGATGTTGATTTTTTGTTATTGTTTTTTTTTTTTTTTTTTCGGTGTGTGTGT